CCCTAAATTTGAAATAAACCCTAAAGAAGAACAACAAATTATAATTGATACATGTTGAATCGACTACTAAATATTTTTCCCTAACCCAATTTTAACGTGTTGAAAAAAAACGCAATTAAACATGAGAGTTGAGGGTGTTTTTGGAAATTGTGCTAAAAATCCAAAAAAAAAATATATTGGTAAAAATAGTCGGTAGTTATTTCCAAAAAATCCAAGTAAAAATTAAACAACTAAAACAACAAAGGTTGTAGTACTCGTAGTTGTTAATCTTCCTTTACATTATTATTTACGTAAAACTATAGTTAAACTCAAAACAAATTACAAAGATTTTTAAGAAGAGAAAATCAGAAAGATTATATATTCATTAACCTATCCCACAAATAGTTTTATACTAGATGAAACTCGTGCGATGCACGGTTTGTTTGTATTTTTTCAAATAAAATATTTTACTAACTATATATTTATCTAATAAACTTTGTGATATTCGCTTTCTTACTACGTTAATTTTTTATTATAAAATGAATTACTAACTTTGTTTCTCATATTTAGATAAAATTCGTAATGTAAAAACTTAATATTTTATTTCACAAAGTTTCATATGTGGCTTGTCACACCATGTGGTTAGGATTACTTAGTCAGGAGTTACATGGTTGGTCAAGGGTTACTCAATCGATTAGGGGTTACTTGGACGATCAAGGGTTACGTACTCGGTCAGTGTTTGGGTGTGTCTCAACCAGCCACATGATATGACCAGTCACACCAAAAACGCGCTGTTTTATTTTTATAATTAATATAAATTTTTTGATCTAAAATAAATTGCAATACTTTTTTTTCATTGACTAAAATATAACATTTTCCTATGTGATGCTCTAAAATTAATCTTACGTGGCATAATCCTATTATAGCGTTTTAAAATTATTAATCCTACATGGCGCTTTTTTTTTTATTATTATAATCCTACGTAGCGGTTTAAAAAAACTAATCTTATGTGGCATAATCCAACTGTAGTGTTTTAAAAATATTAATCCTAAGTGGCGCTCTAATAATTTTTTTAAAATTAAAATCCTACGTGGCGCTCTAAAAACTCGGGAAAAAAAATCCCTTTTATATATAAATACTAGTTTTGTGCCCGGGCGATGCCCAGATGATTGGTAAAATTTGTAGTTTAATTTTTCAATAGATATCTATGTTATTATTGACTTGAAATTATTTTTATTGACTTTAAATTATTTTTACTGAACTAAAAGTATTTTTACCAAACTAAAATTATTTTTACTGATTTTCATTATTTTTTTAAATAAATTAAATATACTATAAATGGATCTTATTGTAAAGAATTTTTTAAAACGAATTTTATGAAGGAAATAGAACCAAGTCATAGGATATTTATTAAAAGTTATGATTAATTTTGTGTATATGAAATATTAGAAGTATATCAATAATAAAACTCTATACAAAATTTTTATCTTAAAAAATCTATCTAAAATTCGCTTACTTAGCATCATATGTGTCACAATTATATCTATTTGTCGCCTATATGACGTGACACCAAGGTTATCAGGATCGGGATCCTACTTTGGATCGGTGAGAGGAGTAGGATCGAATCGGTAAAATCGGATCATAGAATCGTAAGATTCTACAAAATTGATAAAAAAAAAAGTAATAAAAGGGTTGCTACATAATTAGATAACATTTTTTAAGCCATAAAAATGGTAAAATTTATAGTTTTAGTAGTTGGATAGTAATTTTCTTAGCTTAGAGAAAAGTTTAATTGCTTTAGGCTCATTTTAATAAGTAAAAAGTAAGATTGTACGATCCTGACCGATCCTACTCGATTCTGACCGATCCTGCACGATTCTGTTCGATCCTGACTGATCTTGTACAATCCAATAATAATTAAGTGAAAAACAGGATCGTCCGATCCCACCCGATCCTTTACGATCCTAGCTGATCTTGTGCGATCCTACAACGATCCTGCTTACTCTGCGATTCTGCATCCGATCCAAATCGTTTGGCTAAAATGAGATCGATAATAAAACTTTATACAACAATTTTTTTTCCCCCTCTTTGGTAAAGGGTGAAATAAGATTTTATCAATGGTAATCAACAATTTATTAAACTAAACTAATGGTGACATGAGTTAAGTAATAGATTAATGTATTGACCATGGTTTAGCTATTTTAATCTAACTGATCACGAAAAGACAAAAATACCCCTATTTATTTCCCTCCCCAACCAGTTGTGTCTAATCAGACTTAAAGGATTTAAGGGTTTGTTAAAACTTCCATCACCATTTTCACAAACTCAGTTGATGATCTGAGACTAAAATTGCGAAGAAAATCAAGAGTAGAAAATTGCGAGCTTTGATTTTACGTAGTAGAAAGTGAGTACAGGAGTATTATTCTACAATTTGGGTAAATTTATGGGGTATTTGGTTAAATTTTGGGGGATTTTTCGTGAAGAATTGTTGCGGAATTTTGTTGAGTTCGCTCGTAAATTCTCACATTGGGCATCAAAGATCGAAGCTTTCATCAATTTCTGGAGAAGTCGGCAATATTTACTTTGAATCGAGCTAGGTATGTGTTCTTTTTCGTATTCTAGCGTTTTATACTCTGTTTTTTTGCATTCTAGGGTCAGATTCTTATATGTGCTGTGTTTGTTGGGTTGTTTCTGTGATTGTTGGTTTGTTTGTGTAATTGTTGCAGAATGGATGATAAAATTGTGTTGCAATTACAGTATAAGGGTAAAGATGTTACCATTACAGTTGATGATATTGATAAGGCTAACATGATATACCTAATTGTTGAATATTGGGAAAGAGCAAAGGAATTGAATATAGAAACACCCCAAAATCCCACTTTTGATTAAGTATGTTTATAAAATGAAGCATGTTGAACTAAAGAGTGATGCAGATTTAATGAAAATGTTTGCTAATTTACCTGGGAAGAAGGAGATATATATATGGATTGGGGATGGGTTAAAGGACATTGGGGTGGTGGCAGCTGCTAGGTCATTGATGTTAGGTAAACAACATGTTGTTAATGCAGTTGAGAATAGTAGGAGACAGAAACTCACACCTAGAAAGAAGAGAATTCTAGAAGTTGAAGCTCATGTTGTTACTTAGGAAGAATTTGAGAGATGTTTAGGCTATTAGTAGAAATGAAACCCCAGATAATGTTCCTGATGTTGAGTTCTTTCTACCCCCAAACACAGACATGGAAGCAACATTTGCAGACATTGTTGCTGAGGAAGAGTTGATAGGAAGATGGAGAGGTAGGGGGAGAAGGAGAGGTAGGTTAAGAGGGAGAGGGAAAGGGAAAGGAACCGGGAAAGGGAGAGGGAGAGGTATGGGAGAGGGAGAGGTTGTTCAACAAGCTGATAATGGAGGGATTCCAAGAGGGAGAGGGAGGGGAACTGGGAGAGGGATAGGAAATGGAAGAGGTAGAGGGAGAGGGAATGCCTTAGAAAACTGGTTCAACATTTCTCCAACCCCATGGCAGCCTGAACAACCTATTTTTGTAGAAATGCCTATCCCTGACTTTGAATCTGACCCCCAACCTCAAATGCCCACTCAAATTAGCAACCAACAAACTCAACCTCAACCATCAACCCAATCTGTTGTATCACCTATGAAAAATGTTGGAGAGCATAGAGTTGGGTAGACTTCTAATTCCTCAAAATCTGACATGGGGTCAGTCTTCTTTAGGAGAAGAGTGCCTAGGACTACAGCAAAGAGGAGAGGCATTGTAGTAAGCTTGAGTACAAGTGGAGGTGAAAGTGAGCAAAATATTGAATCTGGGGTGGGAAGTAGGGACTTAAGTCTATCAATGGGAAATAGTGGGAGTGAGAGCTTGTCTGTACATGATTAGCAGGGTGATGATGAAGGTGGTGAGAAAAAAGATGGGGCCTATGAGCCATATGATAGTGAAGGGGATACAGATGAGAGTGTGGACGCAAAAGATGCAATATCTGAAGATGAATATGGTCCAACGATTGAAGATTCATGGGATCCTTTTGAGGAACAGTTGTTTGAGTGTGAGAAGGATAAGGACAACTACTTAGCAAAGCTTTACAATAATGGAGAATTCTTCAAAGATGAGGGTTTTGGGAGAATTGTTTTGAAAGAGTGGCAACTCTTCACTAAACAACATCTCAGAGGTGTTGTCAGAGACTACTGCATTCAATGTGGATTTGCAGTCATTATAGACTATGCCAGCAACACTCGGTACTCTGTCAGGTGCTCAAATGCTCATTGTAGATGGAGATTACACGGTTCAATTCTGCCAGATGGTATTACTTGGGCAATCAAACTAATTCAGAACTCTAAACACACATGTCAAGGATTAGGGTCTAGGAACAACGTGGTGAATGTGAAGTGGGCAAAAGAGTTCTGCTTGATGATATTAGGGCCAACAATGTCATTCCTGCTAAGTCATTGAATCAACTGTTATGGAAAAGGTATGGGGTGGAAATGGCCCAGTCTACCTTGTATAGGGTAAGAACTAAGGCTCTGAATGAAATTCTTGAGGGCCACGATGTGTCATACAACCTCTTACCTAGGTATTGTGATGTAGTTAAAGGCTTGAACCCTAACTTATTAGCCTTTTGTGCCTGGAATCCTCCAAATCACCAGAGAGCCCTTTAGCATTTAGTAGCATCTTCATTTCCTTCAAAGCTGCTCTAGATGGGTTAATTGGTGGCTGTAGAAGCCTAATAGGTGTTGATGGAGCTCACTTAGATAAAAGGAAATTATGGGGGATGCCTGCTGTCAGCTGTGGCATTGCATGCCAACAATGAAATATTTCTAGTGGCCTGGGCTATTGTAATAGGGGAGGACAGTGAAAGCTGGAAATTCTTCATATGGCACCTGAAGAATGCATTAAAGGATAGTGGCAGATGAGTGGTGTATCATGTCTGATAGACAAAAGGTAACACTTTACATCATTTGTTTTTGCTTTTTATCATTATTTGATCACTATCATAAACTAATATGTTCTTAAATGCATTGTAAGGGTATTGATGTGGCACTTACTGAGTTGTGGCCAAAAGTGGGGAGGAGATACTGTTGCAAGCATCTTGTGAAGAATTTTAAAGCACAGTTTCCAGGCTTGCTTATGTTCCAATTGTTCTGGAAGGCAGCTGGAGCTTATAACCCTTTCACATTCAGAAAGGCAATGGAAGCTCTACAAAAAGCTAATCCTGAATCATTGGTCTGGCTAGCAACAGTAGGACCACAAGCAACCTGGTTCAACGCATTCAACCCTGCTATCAAGTCTGATGTAAACAAGTCAAATTTTGTAGAAAGTTTCAATGCAACATTGGGCATTGATAGATGCAGACCTGTGATTACTTTGCTTGAAGGTACTGTCATCAACTTAAGAGGCTCTAATATTGTGTACACACATAAGTACACCATTAACATAGTTGCTTCTTTGATGGTGCAGGTGTTAGAAGGCTTACAATGGTGAGAATGGAAACAAGAAAGGAACAATGTCAGAGCTGGAGGGATGATCTCTGTCCAAATATCATCAAGAGACTCCAGGTTATTAGCCATGAGTCTAGAACTTGCAAATGCTTGTTGTCTGGAGATGGTGAGTTTGAGGTCTTAGATGGCAAACTGTTCTGCCAGTGAACTTAGGGGAGAAGACTTGTGCTTGTAATGTATGGCAGTTATCTGGTTTGCCATGTAAACATGCAATGAGAGCCATTTATCACAAGTATGTGAGTGAATGGTACTTAGTTAGAAGGTACAAGCTAAATTATAGGAACAATATTAAGTCCATCCCTGATGTAGAGAAGTGGCCAAATAACACCTATCCAGAAATTAACCCCCCACCTATCAAAAGAAGAATTAGTAGGCCAACAAGAATTAGAAGGAGGGAGGAAGGTGAGCAGGCAAATGGGAAGAGGTCTAAGACTATTAGATGCAGCAAGTGTGTCAACTTTGGCCATAATATGCAGACATGTCAAGGTGGATTTACTGGAAAAGAGAAAGCTGCAAGGGCTGCAGGGCAACAGAAGACTAAGCAACCTCCTAAGCCAAAGAAAGGTGTTTCTCTGTCTCAACCTGACCCAACCACAGTTGCTTCTACATCAAGTCAACTAGAGCTTCAAAGAGAGCCAGGAAGGGTGTTTCCGCCTCCCAACCAGTTTAGAAGTTTATGTATAATTAGATCATGATAGTAGAAATTGTGCAGGACAAGTTTTTTTTTTAACTTATTTACTGTTATTTGAACGTCAGCCTTTTGAGAGCAATGATGTGTTATTGCTAAAACAAGTTTTAAGTCTTGATGTTATATTTTGGAACAAATTTAAGTCATGATGTTATTTTTTGGAACATGTTTGAGTAAGTATTGCAGCAATTGAAAGCAACAAATGAAAATTTCAGAAAATTTCTCTACTTTTTTTATTCATCTTTAAGGATCATTGCTTAAATTCATAAGGCATAAAGCCAAGTACACAATAATGCATACATCACTTAGAAACAACAAACACAAAATACAGAATGAGTGCCATTTTGGCAACAACTTTGATAAAATTTGCTAATTCTTCTACTTTATCCTTCGCAACATCATTTAGACCTTGTTCAACTTCCAATTCCTCCCCAACCTTGATAATATCTTCTTCCCTAAGCCAAGCAAAATAATTGCAAGCCCTGCATTTAAAGAACAACCTTCTTGGATTTTTCGTGGTTTCAGAAACCTTGACAACAGCCACTTTAGGAGGAACATAGTTGCAGGAAACGTGCTTCACCCAAGCAATCTTGTCGTCCATAGTGATAGACCGCATTGATACAGACGAAGAACCAGACTTAGCCATGAAACGAGAGAGAGAGAGAGAAGTGCGAATTACAGAGGTTGAAGATGAATTGGAGAAATTAGGGTTTTAAAAGGGGGGAAATTGAAAGGAGGGAAATTAGGGAGGAATTCCATAGGACAATCCCTTATGTAAGGGTATTAGTGTAAAACTTAATCATTTAACCAAGATTAACTATAGTTACTCTTTTAATTGAATTAAATTATCAGTAATGTCACCATTAGCTTAGCTAAATAAATTGTTGATTACCATTGATAAAATCTTATTTCACCCTTTACCAAAGAGAAAAAAAAAAAAAAAAAAAAATTGGATGTTACCTGTGAGAATTTCCCTTGTATTTTTAACATTTTCAACGCTAATATAATATGATTGTGGTCAAAATTATTTTATGAAAGTGAAGCTGCATCACATTTATTTAGAAAGCCATATAGAAGGAATTCAGTTATTTATTTAGAAAGCCATATACAAATTTCGCATAAATCTACACACGTAGAATTTGATTACATGACTACTTAAAAGAACAAAAAATGGTACAAGGGATTAAGGGTACATGACAATGTTTAATTGCTTGTATTACTGATTTTCACCAGAATAGGTGAAAGGGTGAGAAAAAAAGACACTCATCAAAGCTTTTGTAGCGCGAACAGAGTAGTTGTATTGTATAAACAAGAATGTTCTGTTAGGTTGATCAGTCAGGGAGGCACATGCAGGAGACAGGGATCGAACACTTGACATAATTCTTGCAAGGCACTATGGTTCTTCCTAAATGATAATTCCTCTATAGTGTGCTGCAGTGGCTAGTAGGAAGTGTTCCTGCTATATTACCTTCAGTTCTTATCCATGCCAGAATATCAGCACAATCTTCGGGTTTAACAAAATACCTTCAAATGCAAACAGAATACACTCAATACAGAGCTTAAAAGTTGTCATAGAAGCATTCAATGATAATTTTTTTTTTTTTTTTTTTTTTTTTTTTTTTTTTTCTAGCTTTAAAAATTGTACCTATTTTTGGTCATATAGGTCTTATATTCATTTTGTTCTTGACGGTTGGGTGCATCTTTCTTCATCCTTAGCCATTCTGGTACAGTTAAAGTAGTACTCTGATCATGATACGCATCATGAATGAAGTCCAGAAGCTTCTCCTGCATTACGAATATTTGTAATAAAGCTTATGGCACACACTCACGTATCTAAACAATCAAAGATTATGGTGCACATGTAATAGATGACATACCAAGGGTTGAGAAGCATCAAGCCAATGATAAATAGGATCATTACGGAACCATATCATTTGTCTTTTTGCAAAATTCCTGAATATTTTTGTGGCGTTCTCTCGTTAATACTTGAAATAAGATATAAATAAGGATGCATTGCAGTGTAAACACCATGATACAAAGTTTTTCGATTCATAATTTGAAATGTCATGTTCTGACATCAAGTCAGTTAGTTCAACAAGAAGCAAAGCAAGTCAAACAGAAATTAGAAAAGCAAACCACAGATTTATATGTTTGTGTAGATGAGATGAATCAATAAAGCATTCCCATATCAAATCTACGTCAAAATGCAAACGCCATATTTTTACTTGGAATAAAAGGTCGTCTAAAGAGGTTTTATGGAGCCAGAATGGATATTAAAATCATTCAATACATGACAAACTAGCAAAATCTTATTTCATTCAGCCATTCAATATCGCTCATTTTATTAGATGGTATTGGACCACTAGATAGAGATGCAACTTTTTAAAAACAAAACAAAGGTGGTCATACATTGAATTACTAAACTCGGAATTACATAGACAGATTGCCTAGAGAAGCCAAGTATCTAGAGAACAAGGCAATGTTCCAATGTTTGAATATATTACAGATACATATAGAGGGTCAAAGACTTATGATGCTTGAACAGGATAGACTGTTTTGCCATCAATCAGCTCGGCCACAATCCTATTTGCAATGATTGTGATCAAGCACATATCCACATTGGTCTTGGAGCATGGAACACATTCAAAGAAGACTCCTTATTTCATTTATTTGAGTAGAAGATATCATACAATGCACTTGGCATAAAAAGCACTATGTAAGAACCTCCACCTTTTCCCATGACAGCAAAAAATGGCTTATACGGAGAGATGCAAATCCTTAATAGGTAGTATGTAAGAAAATGTGAAGGAAAGAAATAAAACTTTAAGTTATTCATAGCTGGTTGAGGAAAAGACAGAGGCCACTTAGAGTCTAGGGTGCCATGGTGGAGCTCAGAAAACATTTATAAACCACAACTAGTTACTCCAGCCATACCTAAATAAAGTTCCACATCAAGCACTTCAGAGATGTTCCTGAAAAAACTTCAAAATTATATCTCAAGGCAATAAAGCTATGCCTACAGGAACTTCTATATATGCTCCTTGAAAACTGATTGATTGGAGTAATAATATATGCCTTTGACAGGAGTAAATATGTTTAAAAGGAAAATTGTTCTAGTTACATGCACCTATAATATCTGCATCAGTAGCGAAGTGGACCTTTATTTTGGGACAGAGGGAGTAATCCTTACAAGCCCTAGATAGAGCCTCATTGCACTGATACAATGACTTAACATTGAGACTAATTTTATAGCTTTTATCTTTCTAAACCCTTTGTTATTGTTTTAATTACACATACTGAGTCCTTAGCTATTTTAATAGGTGAACTTGGAGTGACTTCTCCTTTTGATTTCTTTATTCTATCATCTAGCCTTTTCATCTTCCTCATATTTATCATTCATATTAATTTCCATAACATTGGCATAAAATTTGTCTTTTTATCAGTATTCCTTTCTTTTATAAAGTTCTATCATAACAGAATCTATTTTCACTTTTACTATGAAATTTCTTCCTTGTCATAAATTTTTCTAATTCCTTGATTTTCTACAACTCAAACAATAGCCTTTCTGATTCTGATACAACGTTATCCTCCCCAAATGCAATAAAGGCGATTATCACTTATCAATATATAATAGCAAGGAGCAATCTTCCATCCTTGGGTTCTGTACAAACCTGGACACCTTCTGAAATTCAAAAAGAAAGGAAAAAAATTCCTTTGCAGAGCTCTGACCATCTTGTTTTCTGCATTCCAAGAGATACTCCATGCCCTGAATATTAGCTGACGGGATGAGTCTCAATTTTATTACATAGAAAATCAACATGGAGCAAAATGTAAACAAACAAAAATCTTAGAGTTGTCATACATCCAATCCTGTCAAGTGATTTTGCTAATTATCAATTTTGTCAACTCCTTGTTTGAGCAATTAATTTTCAATTGCTCCAAACACCCCTTTTACTCTTGAGAAGATGATTCATGTTTAAGGACATAACCTAAATTTAAGGTGAGGTTATACAAATCTGTGCCGGCAAACAGATTTACTGCTGTAACTAGTATGTCCCATTTGCACACATTATTGAGAATTACTAAGTACAAGAACTTCCTACGAATCTTTTTAGTTGACACGTTTCTTTAGTCACTGATAAGCAAAAATTATGAAAAGTTGATATTTTGAAAATATATATTGTGACGAATCTAACAAGATCCCACATGACTATTTTTTCATTACGTATAAAGCACAAAACACGGTCAAAGGGGAGTGTGTGAATAGTGCTAAAGTCAAAACGTGCCAACTAAAAAAAAAACGGAGGTAGTATGCCTCAATAACTTGGATGAGATAAGCATACGCAAGAAGTGCCTCATTTTAGACTATTAGTGCAAATTCTATATGAAGGTAAATACTTCCTCCGTTTCACAAATATCGCAACAATTACCATTTTAGGAAGTTTCACAAATATTGCAACATTTTCCTATTTGCACTTGTTTTTACTCTTTCTCTCTCCTCATCACATGGGTCCCTACTCCCTATCTTTATTCCTCTCTATCTCTCTCCTTTTCTTAAAATCTGTATTCCATCCCCATGTTGCGTTCTTAGGGGGACGGAGGAAGTGTAATTTATCACATATCAACATGCACCTCCCATATTCGTATGAGCAGTTATGCCTCTATAATCAGAACAAAATAAATGCAGGATAATATGGGTAGGTAGAGCTAATTCAAAGTACACCTGTCGATAACCAATCGATCGGGTAGCAGGACTTGAATTGGGAAGAAGACCCATGTCTAGAAGCCATTTAGCCTCCGCTAGAATCCCATCACTACCTGCAATCAGATGCAGTATACAGCTTACAAGTGGAACTAACGAGTATAGTCACGTCATCAGATAGAAAGCACATACAAAACTTGAAATGACACACAAGAATCACATAAGAAAACTATGATTATCAACAGATGCATACACCTGCAAGACTATTTGGAGCATTGAGATGCATCCATTTATTTGTTTCGTGGGTAGGAGCGGGGATTGAGGTTGTGAACAGGTAATGCTCTCAAGTGTAGAATAAATATTTGACTTAACACTGTGTTACTTGGTGGAACTAACGAGTATAGTCACGTCATCAGATAGAAAGCACATACAAAACTTGAAATGACACACAAGAATCACATAAGAAAACTATGATTATCAACAGATGCATACACCTGCAAGACTATTTGGAGCGTTGAGATGCATCCATTTATTTGTTTCGTGGGTAGGAGCGGGGATTGAGGTTGTGAACAGGTAATGCTCTCAAGTGTAGAATAAATATTTGATTTAACACTGTGTTACTTGGTTCTGTAATGAAGAACATAACAAAACAACAAGAAAAACCATACCTGAAAGCATTTCTTCACATCGTAAATCAATTGATCTATACAAGTTTAATCGGGGGCCTGAAAGGAAAAAGCAAATGAAATCGTATTCTAGTTCTTTAAATTGGCCCCCCTGCATTCCATCCATGTTTTGACAATCATCCGTTGCAGCTAAATTGAGTTTCTCTTTGTAGGAATCATATGGCATTTGGAAGGCTGATGGAGGCGATCCACAAGACTGCCAGGTAAAAGAACATTCATTTAATAATTTTATTATCAACTGCTTAGTTAGTATAGAGCTACCCTATTAAAATCACACGGGGAAGTAATATAGCTTGTCCATATACATTTTATAACAGGTGGGAACGAACTTTCTACAGGGAATTTGGTTACAGTTTCTCGTAAATCTATTTGCTTTTACTTAGATGTGGAATGCTCTCACTTGGCAAACTAAGTAAAGAAAGTAATTTATAAGCAATGCTGGCAGCGAACTAGAGGAAAGATTATGACATAATAATTGCGGTAGATGGCTCTTGGAAGAAAATCAAAGTGGAATTGAAAAGTAAAACCAAAAAAGGACAGGAGGTATAAAAAAAGTGGAAATAGGAGAAAGCTTGGAGAAATCAGGCAGGCTTATATGCTATCCTTTTCCTTCAACATGAACCCATGGCAATCCTTAAAATACTTGAGTAGGCTTCCAATATAACTTAAATGAAATCAGAATATTATCAGAAGACTCATTGATAGAAAATTAGTAACCTAGTTAAGAGGTTAGGAGAATTATAGAATATAGAGGATTTCTAAGAGCATAGGATCTCAGTTAAGGCATGTGCACTTTCCTATGTTTCCAGAATATTAGTTAAACTAGCCAATGACCTGGCTAATAAGCCTGGCAGCTTGGCCTAATTAGCCAGGTTATGGTTAAACACAACATAAAAATTATTAGTGGAGAATATAGCTTTTTCAAGGTTCGAAAATTTAGAAAAGAACAACGCACCATAAAGTCAATAACAAAAACTATGCAGTATGATTTGCTCTAATTCTTTATCAATAACAAGTGAAAAGGTGATTCATCTAACTTAGTTTATCTTCTTTATGGCTCAAATCACACTTGGCATCACAATATAAATGGAAATGAAATTACAGGGAGTACTTTGATTGTCAGCCAGATAATAAAATGACAATGAAAATATTAAACCTTAATAATCTCAAGGCTACGCTGTAGGCGATACCAATTGTTTGTTGGTAAAGACGGGGCGTTCGGATCTCCCGCTTCAAGCACCAACTTTACAGCTGCATCCCAATCCCCATTATATTTATAATTTTCAAGCTCTGCCCACACTTGGGAAGAAATATTGGGCGATGCTATTGGAACATCAGGCTTGCCATATATGAACCTAGCATTTGAAAAACAATTCGTGACATCTCTATATGAACCTATCCTCTTACAATTACCCAGGGTATGCTCAACTGAACCAAATACCACATTCAGCTTTGGTTGAAACCTTAAAATAATATTAGAGAATGCAATATCTATAGAGGAAACTTATAGTTCACATTCAAGGTTCCACGATGCATTACTCAACTGTAGCAAACAAGTATAGCTAACATGATCCATGAGATATTATGCATCTTGTCTTTTGTGTGACAGAAAACTTAATGCACAATGAACTTTTAAAGCTCATCCAAACAAAAAATAGAAATTGTAGAAACATACCAACGCAAATACAAACCAGTTCCTCCAGTAATTATAGGAACATGGCCCTTGTTAAGGACATCTCTTGTTGCTTGCCTTGCATCGTCATAAAATCGACCAACAGAATATTCTACGAACATGGGAGGTATAAGAATTAAAATGAAGATACAAAGCAACATAATTGATCATTACATTTTACAAGCAGAAGGATCAATCATTTGCATATGCTTAATTACCATGTAACACATTGGTTCATTTTTATCCAGTGTAGACACATATGCATGTTAAAGACTATTCATCCAATAGCTCAAAATTTTAGAGAAGTTTTGTTCCTCACAAAAAACAATTTTCGTCAAATAGGTAATTGCAGACTCCCTCAAGAAAAAAAAAGAACACGAAACAAGAAAAACAGAATTGCCTGGTTTAGGGGAGCTATGAATGTTATGGAACAAGAAAAGAGTATGCTATAGACAAAAATTGATTTGATTTACAAGCTTCTGCCAAGCACATCTTTTAGATTAGGTAGCAGTAACTCATTAAGCACATATAGTATGTAGCTCTCATTTCTACCTTCAGCTGGGTGCAACATGTCCAACAAATGATGAGGTACCTCCTGTAAAAAAAAAAAAAAAAAAAAAACAAACAAAATTATTACAAAAAAAAAAAAAAAAAATAAAAAAAAAAAAAAAAAGAAGAGAGAGTGAAAAATGGCTGTTGAAAAAGGCAACGGAAGAAAAGCAGCAAAGTTGATTTCAATTGCTTTACAAAGGGTTCCTACAATGCCTAAACAGGACAAGGACGGAAAAAAAAAGAAAAACTACTATGTGATAAAGATAGAATATGTTCAACACATTTGCTAAAGTATGTTAAACACAAAATCATCTTATGATAGCATATCAATATTGCCAACAACTACTTTGTTTGTAACAACCAAATTAAAGGCACCTTTCGCTCACTAGATGAAGGTTTTGCAGACCCAACATCAAGACCTTGATAGACCTGTATCATGCAAAAATAAGGGAAAAATGGAGAAAATCATCAGACGAAAACTAATTAAAATTAACGCATCATTAAGTGATCAACAGCAAAAAGATTTCATATGCAACAAAAGTAAAAGATAAGGGAACTCAGAGCAACTTGCCTCCAGAAATAAGAACATGATCATACAATCATTAATTCATTATATTCAGGAAAGGAGCAATACCAAAAATGGCAAAATACTGATGGGCACAATTAACTCTGCAGCTAAATTTCGAATCAGGAAATTTTTGTATTAAAGCATAATTAGTTATAATCAAGTTAACTTCCTCCATTTCAAAATAGATGTATGCTACTCTCTTCGTCCCACTTAACACTTTTTTTTTTTAAAGTGACAAAACTACAAATCACCTTTCATAGCACAAATTAAATCATACAAAGTACATATTTTTCTAATAAAACTCTTACTTTAAAAACAAATAATAGTAACATGTTTGTTCTCAACAGTTATAACATGTCAAATGAATTCTTCAAAAATAACCTCGAATAAAATGTGGCCTGTTAAATTGGGACGGAATGAGTAATATTCTACTATTATGATAGAGTCAATATCGATCATATCACAATATCACAGTACAAATCACATAATGGAACGAATTTAGCCCATATGATAATGTAAATAATGTATCTTTTTTTTCTTTTTTTTTTTTCTTCACATTATAACTTCACTCACACAAAATTAAATGACAAAGTTATTAGGAAAAATTACATGAACTTCATTAACAAAACGCAGGAAATTGAAAACCTCTACTATAATGATTTCATTCAAATTAACTTCTAAAAACAACAACAATTAGCAAAAACAAATTTAATTAAATTGAGAGATAGAAAAATAATAATAAATAAAGAAAAAGGAAACCTGAACAGAGTCAGCAGTGATAATTTCACCATTAATGCGCTTAGCAAGCTCGAAAGCAAGGCGAGATTTACCGGCGCCAGTGGGGCCAGAGATGACAATAACCTTCTGTTTTTTCTCTCTCCTCGGAAATGAAGAAGAAGAAGAAGAAGAAGAGGAGGAGGAGGAGGAGCAGAAGGAGGAGTATAGGTGGCGCCGGAGATGAGCGGTGGTGGAAGAGTATTGAAAGTGGTGGCGCATCCCCCATTGACGTAAACCTCCGCTTACTCCGCTCATTTTTTTGAGGTGGCTGATGATGAGAGATTTTAAACCCAGCGTTTTATAATTTATGGATTTTTGTTAATTTTGGCAATTTTGTTGAAGAAAGTACAAGGATTTTTTTTTTATTTTTTATTTTTTTATATATATAAGAAAATACAAGTTTTATTTTGATATTTGTAATAAAATGGAGTAAATTTTGTATTTTATTATTATAGGTTAAACAACTAACATAGTAAACCGCTTAATTATTGTCCGTATGGTACCGCTGTAGTTTTTTTTTGTTTTTCAAAATCATATTATATGATATATGCCATATGATGAATTAAAAATCGGTCAAACTTATTAAAATCATGATGATAATTTTGAAATAAACTGATAATAAAAAATAAAAAATAAAAAAAAAACCTTTTTCTCTAGTTTCCAGTTTTTGGTTGTTATTAAAAAAAACAAAAAATTGAAAACAAAAAACGATCACGAACAAGCCTTGTGTTAATGCTTTTATCCCAAAATATTACTCCGTACAACTTTGTCATTTAATAAACAATGATGGTAATTACTCAGAATCATTTATAAAGTGCATCTAGGCGTATAGCGCCTATTTATTAGGCATGCACATAGAAGAGCAATCTGGTTTTTTTTTTTTTTTTTTTTTTTCATTTGATGTTTTTCTACGGTGGTACATTTTTGTGTACTATTATACTTGTATAATATACCATTAAAGTATAAGTTGATCAAGGGGAATGAAGAGGTAAAGGAAGCTCAAAGATTAAGGGAAAAAAAAAAAGTGGAGTTAAATCCCCTTAAACACCCTCATAAAAATGAGGGTTACACATCAAAGAGAATCCAAGAAAGAAGAGAACAAAAGTCAATAAATCTAGGCATGAAAAAGTCTACTTCACAACCTATCAGTGGACAAACATGATACGACACAACCTACCCGTGGAGTAAACTGATCAAGCTTTAGAAAATCAATTATCCAACCAAGAAACATGTCTTTTACTTTCTTTATTCCAACACCTTGTATAATACGGAGTATTAACCATTAACATCTTTACTTAATCATAATGTAACACTTTGTAGAATTCTATATACCAACTACATGTGTTATAAAATCATTAAATCCACCTCAGATTTCACAAAAAAGTAACGTAAATGTCTCGTTTTGCGTATTAAAGCATGAACACGTAAATCGAGATATTTTTTAATATACAAAACGAGACATTTAAATTGTTTTTTTTGCCAAATGTGAGCTCAATTTGGACCCTAAAGGGCTAAAATAGCCCCCAAAACCTTTAACGGAAGGTTTTTTTAACGCGCAAATCGATAAAAAAAAAATATTAATAAATGGAGAGTGTGTCCCACTAACGTAATTTTTTAACGCGGGATAACGGCAAGGTTACCGTATGGAAACAAAATATATATTGGGATTACAGTGTGAAATTAACAGGATTACTATATAGTAAAACCCTAAATAAAAAAAATCCTTATAAACAATGATCGACTAGCTCATACTCTTGCAATACGTAAGTCTACGTATAAGTAATTACAATCACGGAGAATAAAATTTATAATCATTTTAACAAAAGACACCTAAATTCAGATACTTTACCAACCGGTAGTTGCATGGGTAACGGGTTACTTCTAAAAATGCTTGAATCTTAAGTTAAAGCTAAACATTGCAAAAACCATGTTCAAAAGACGTACCAAACTCGTACAAATCTTTCTTCCTTCCTTCTCTTAACCTTCCAAGATTTAGCCGAAACCCAAAATGACCTCACAACAATCTCCCAATCGCGCTAAGTACCATTCCATCTTACCTATCGCGTTGGCCTGTGTACTTGTGCTAGGGACCGCGAGGCTAGTGTTTGACAACCTAAAGAGTAACCGAGAAAGTATTTTTGGCCAATGGCAACTTTGGTTACGAGGGGGCGGATTTCATAGGTACATTATCAATGCATTTGATGATGATGATAATAGCTATGAAGATATAGAAGATTGTAACGTTTTCGACGGGAAATGGGTTTGGGATAACGTGTCTCGCCCGTTGTATAGTGAAGAGAGTTGCCCTTTTTTGGTTAAACAAGTTACTTGTCAAAGAAATGGAAGACCTGATAAATCTTACCAGAATTGGAGATGGCAGCCTAATGAATGCAATTTGCCAAGGTAACATTTTTTAGTGTATGGTAACAAAAATTTGATGTGAATTTATTTTGAAGATTAGACTTAAGAGTGTGAGATCAATAAATGTAAACATTTTTGTAACAATATGGATGGAGCATCTTAATTTTTTGTCGAGAAAGTTGCAAGATTATGTTGAATACACCTGTTGTATACAAGACCTATCGTACATACTGTTGTTTATTAGCTAATAACACTAAAATATATGACGTGTACAGGTTTAATGCAGTAAAACTATTGCGTATACTAAAGAATAAACGCTTGATGTTCGTAGGAGACTCGATCCAAAGAGGTCAATTCGACTCGATGGTTTGCATGTTACAGTCTGCAATACCTGATGGAAAGAAATCACTTCACAAGGTTCCTTCTAAGAAGATCTTCTATGCTCAGGTAATAACAATAACTTATTACAACTTCCATATCATAGAGATTAAAGAAGATTAATTATATGGAATTTTGAGAGGCATGGTTTACACATGCAGGAATATAATGCAACAGTTGAGTTCTACTGGGCTCCGTTTATAATTGAGTCGAATTCGGACCATTCTACAAATCATTCAGTGCTTAAGAGGCTGGTTAAGCTTGATCGAATTGCTGATCACAGCAAAAACTGGGAAGGAGTAGACATTTTGGTATTTGAAAGCTATGTTTGGTGGATGTACAAGCCTATTATAAACGCAACGTAAGTCTTAATGGTAATTACATATACAATCAATGATGTGCTTCACTTATACTATAGATGCTGAATGTTAGCTGATTTATATTTCCGCGATTTTCTTTCCTCTGGATGGCTGAATTTGATGGAAAAATATGTTGTAGGTATGGAAATCTCAATGATATACAAGAATATAATGTTACTACAGCTTACAAAATGGCATTGCAAACCTGGGCAAATTGGTTGGACTCTAGCATCAATCCTCAGACACAGAAGGTCTTCTTCATGAGTTTGTCTCCTACACATTTGTGGTAAGATTTTCTTCTATTTGTAAGTAGCATCAAAGTCTGAGAGGTCGTAAGTAGGTAGTTTCGGATTGGATATGATTCAGGTTAATCTGTTCAAGGAAATATTCTAGTGATAAAACATAGAGTTTGGTCTATGCACATTAGATAAATTCCGAATGAGGTCAAATTCAGGTTACCCAAAACCAGGTTAAATTTGGGTCCGAGTCCTGTTGGTTCCAACCGGGCAGTTTCAACCAGGTCAGCCTATCCTGGTCTAAGAGTCTGGAACTTGTCTAACACCTGAATGAAACAGGGCAATGACCGTTCAGTATTCAAAGTTCGAACATGTACTTGTAATCCCTCTTAGAGCCTACATTGCAGCCGGATTACCTTGCTTGTTAATTAATGTTAATCTTTGCTTTTAACAGGAGCTCAGAATGGAACCCAGGAAGTGACGGGAACTGCTTCAACGAAAAGGAACCCATCCATGGACCATACTGGGGGATGGGTACGAATCGTGAAATCATGAAAGTAGTGCAAGAAACAATACAAGGTCTAAAGACAGAAGTAACATTTCTGAATATAACACAGTTATCAGACTTCAGAAAAGATGCACATACTACAATATATACAGAAAGGAAAGGCAAACTCCTAACCAAGGAACAAAAGGCTGACCCGAAAAACTTTGCAGATTGCATTCATTGGTGTTTACCAGGAGTTCCTGATACATGGAATGAGATTTTGTATGCACATTTGTTACAAGAGTTTTATAACTAATCTCTTTGTTAGGACCAAATTTTGATTCTTAATTTCTAATTACGTAGTGAAAAAACATATACTATATTCTATAAAAACAAAAGTTTCAATTGCACCAAAAAAAAAAAAAAAAAAAAAACTAAAGTTTCAACATGAAACATTGCATTGAGACATTAAGAGCAATGAATCAGGAGGTCTATTTTTCGAGATGGTTAGAATTCAATAAATTGTTCTTAGTAATTGCGTTGGATAGGAATAAGAAGTACTAGTATATATTTAGATTAAATGAAAATTATCTAGCTCTACTAAAATAGTTATCTAGTCATCGAAATTTCTGCCTAATAGTTCTCTAAATCTTTGATCCACTAAGTCAAATGCCCTTTACCCAAGTTTATAAGATACAAGTCAAAATTTTTGTTCACCATCTAAACTGACAATCTCCCAATCTATGTCTTCAACATACTCCGCTTCAAAATTCTTCAGGATGTCCTGGGCACTTTTACTGAGGTGACTGAAATCTCTATCACAGTCGCGATATGGTTTTTGGACCTCTTTACTTTCTTCCGGTGTCTTCCTAATTGGAATCTGTAACATTTTATAACAGAAAATGAAGAAAATGAGAGTCCACTTAGGAAACAAATACTGATTCTGATTCAAAGCCTGAGAAAAATTACAATACAATCTTAACTCGCAGCAAAATGCACTTAGTCTAGCTAAAACAAGCCTAGCTCCTAGTTAAGGTGCATGGACATAAGAATTTGTAGCTCATATATAAATTATGAAACACCATTATCGAAACAGACTTCTGGTCGCTAATCCATCAGGGAAATTCCCTGTTTCTCATATTGAGAAACGAAATTTGTTTCTCATGGGGACATTTTCGTGAAGAAATCAACAACTTTTTCATTATTGTAGGTTTCACAATTGAATAAAGTTGTTGATTTACTTACAAAAGTGTCATGTGAGAAACAAATCACTATGAGAAACTGGGGCATCCCCCATCCATAACTATATAAGAGTACATCAGCAAAAATGCATACGCGCAGAGACAGATCCACAGAGGTCTAAAAAACAATAATAAAAAAAAAATATGACTCAATTATTGGACATGAGATTACTCTCATAGTGTAGTCACTAAGACTAATTACAATTTCTATCTTCTGCACGAAAGCACCATCAGCAACCTTGACGACTTTATACCAATTAAACAAAGTATTTAACTGTTTTTCTTTTTTAAAAGAAGGTTTCAATTGGAAGTACCTCAAAATTACTTCCATATAATTCGCGGCCATATGCTCTTCTAAATGAAGTCGAGAGATTGTCCTCTTGAATATCATCATCAAAGAGAGGTAATTGTTTCATTGCAACAGCTAACTTCTTGTCATTCTCGGCTGTTGTCTGCACTTGGTCTCTGACGTTACCACGAGCATTCTGCATTTACAGACGAATAAAATTAAAAATTGATCAGTAAATTGAAGGCCTGAAAGAACCGCGATCTTTGCAGTGAAACGGATAATCCTGACATCCTAACTTAGGTTGCATGGAAACGGAAACGGAAACGGAAATGAGAAAACGGAGAATCGGGAAAACGGAAAATTTAAAATTATGGGAAACGTAGACACAGAAAAGTAATACTCCCTCCTTTTCATAATGTTAGTTTCATATGAAATCAATCACATAAAATAAGAAAAGAAGAATATTTGGAATCTAACATTAAAGTACAAAATAATTCATAATTAGTTTACCTTATCTAAAGTTTTTTGATTTTTTTTTTTTTGGAAAAGTATAAATCATAATTGCATAATTCAATGTAGAAATTTCTTTACTTAGAGTATGTCATCAATCCACAAACAATTAATTCCTAAAAAATTAAAAATGAATGGTATTCAATATGGATAGATCTTTTTAAAACGTCCAAAATAGTATATGGACTAATATTATGAAACGGAAGGAGTATGAAATATCACCTTCTAAAGGCAATATTATTGACATATTTTTTAATGAAAAGAGAAAAATAAAGAAAGAAAGCAAAAAAAAAACAATAAATTAGGCTATATTTAGGAGATTAAGTATTAGAAAAGATCAAATTTTTATGTGAAAAAACGTTTTTTCCCTTTAAATTTCATATCTCTAAGGGTTAATTTTAGTTAAAGCTTCAGAGAAGTTTACAGAGTTTTGGAAACGGAAACGTATGTGAGGAGTAATAACCTGGATCATTATGTCATCAATTTCACGGCACATATCATTGATTGTCTCGTATATAATTTCAAAAAACGACATACACCCGCAATTTATTATCGAGTTCAACATGATGGCGCTTTTAATAATGGAGATTAACAACACTCCCAAACTTTGTGCAACTCAAATAAGCTGCAATATCCAGAAAGTTAGCACTTAATTAGAAACTGGTAACAATGTAATATGCAAGAATTATGAACATTAATATTACGAAAAAAAAAAAAAAACCTACAACTTATAAAACAACAAAAATCGACAACAACCAAAAAAAACTACTCTACGAACAACATAAACAATCCTAGTTATTATTCTCCAGCACCATCCTTGGTCTCGCCCTTTTGCTCAAGTGCTCCAATAAAATTTACATTATTAAAATATAAGTACTATACCTTATTTGTTAAGTAAAAACGCCAACTCTAGCGGTGTCATGATTCCTAATAATACTCTAATTAATCTTAACTTATATGTGTGCAATTTGTTGGATAATAAGCATATGATTTGCAATTGTTAATGTAGAAACTAGCACATTTAATCATCATAAAAATCAAACAAAAACACGAACCCAAAGTTTTCATAGTAACAAGAATTGAAACGCAAAGTGTAAGGTGTACGTTGAGTTGTTGATAGTGTAATCTAAACTAATAACACGACAACTATATCCGGACAGAGTGGTAGTAATTAAAAAGATCAAAGAAAAGGACATAGGCGTTAAAGAAAAGAGCAAAGAGAGGAGAAAGTATAACCTGTGATGGGAAACAACGTTTTCTCAAAGCAATCAATTGTAGGCAGCTCTGCAATTATATATAGTGATATTCTTTCAAACAGATTTTTTTTCTTTTCCAGTTGATTATATCTTGATATTCTCAAGATGTAATTAATAAAATAAATACTACTTCTGTTAATTATATTATGTGAGATATAAAATTATCCTTTATTGCACATAATAATTAACAGAGATATAGAAGATAAAATTCGGAATTCGAGTTTTAGTTGGATCAGGAGTCCGAGTTCTAATCAAACTACAAGTCTAAATAAACCAAAATTCGCAACTATCACTAATTTTTCCCGATAACAAAAACATACTGTATTATATTTTCTTAGACCAATGATATGATTTATACACGACCATTTATTATATAATTTGTTTTATTAAACTATAAATCTAATGTATTATCAATAACATAATAATAACTTAATACTAAAACAGACATTAGGAATGACACTTGTCGATTTCTGTTGCTATTTTTTCCTCCAACTTTAAAAAAAAAAAAATATTTACCATATATATATATATTACCTAATCAGAAAACCATTGACTAACATTATACGAGTACATACTTTATAATTAGGTCACCGGATACTATATATATATATTTTTTTTTTTTTTTTTAAATGCAATGTCTCCTATGTTATTAAGGAAAATCTATTAAACAAAATAATTTTAAATAATTACAATTGATTTACTTATACATACAATGTATATTACAATAATAAGACTTACCAATTTGTTATTGGTGCACTGGTGATTGGGGCTGCATTTGGTAGGGAGAACCCGTGTTCGATCCCCTCGCAACAACAATCGGGAGGGGATTGGAACCTAACCACCTTGAACTGATCCCCTAATCCGGATTAGCCCAAAGGGTGAAACGGGTGGAGCACAAAAAAAATAAAATAATAAGACCTACAAAAGTGTATATCAAATTAATAATCTCAATTTATAATCTATATTATTTTCTTCTCATTTTGGTAATCATATTCAATCTGTATACAATCAACTAAAATTTTTGTACATATCTTCAACAAAGCTTCTTGCGTACAACCGGCTTACAATAATGTTATTGTAAAACCGGTCTCGCACGTGCCATACTTAATATAAAAAGCTGCGCATGCAATTTCGCTGCAAACTTCTTCTTCAACCTTCTTCTTCAAACTTCATCTCACAATTTCGCTGCAATTCTCTGCAAAACAGCCATGAATTCTGTAAATCACAAATTATTACAATCTCAAAAACAAATTCAAGCTCCAATTTCAAACGTTGATTGTGCAATTGATGTTGATTGTGCAATCGATGTTGACTTAAGCGACGAATTTTTGCAACAAAACCTAAATTGCAAGCAATGTGGCAACAATATTGACCTAAATTGCGAAATCAATGACAATGCATTGATGCAACAAAACCTCAATTCAGGTACGTAGTTTTTTATATTATGAATTTATATAAATTTACCAAAAATAGGTAAACTGGTGGTTGAATAAATTGCGTTCAATGCAGATTCATATGAGAGTAGAGTTATTCTCGATGAAGAACAAATCTCAGCTGATGAAGTGCAAATATCAGAGGATGAAAATTCAACTGCTGAAGGTAACATTAAGCTTTTGAACAGTTGTGGAATTGTTTAAATTGAAGTTTCTGATTAATATTGAAATGTACAAGTAAAATTGAAATTGCATACTCGTTTAATGTATAGTTTAACTTTCAGAAATAGAAGTATACCTTTAAGAAATAGAAGTGTAACTTTAAGAAATAGAGGTATTACTTTAAGAAATAGAAGTATAACTTTAAGAAATAGAAGTATAACTTTAAGAAATAGAGGTATAACTTTAAGAAATAGAGGTATTACTTTATGAAATAGAAGTATAACTTTAAGAAATAGAAGTATAACTTTAAGAAATAGAAGTGTAACTTTAAGAAATAGAAGTGTAACTTTAAGAAATAAAAGTATAACTTTAAGAAATAGAAGTGTAACTTTAAGGAATAGAAGTGTAACTTTAAGAAATAAAAGAATAACTTTAAGAAATAAAAGTATAACTTTAAGAAATAAAAGTGTAACTTTAAGTGTTTATTGTATTACTGAATTATAGTTATACTTTTTTCATAAATCCTAAATCTACCATACTGTTTACATTGCAGTAATTGAAACCAATATTGATGTTGGAAGAACACTATTAGGGATCAGAACAAAAACCTTAGAAGAAATGCATGAGATTTACAAAAAACATGCATCAATTGTAGGATTTTTAGTAAGGAAACATACAGGTAGGACTAGGGATAAAACTGGAAAAGTTATTGTGGAGAAATACTATGTTTGTTCTGCACAAGGTAAAACAAACACTGGGGAAAGAAAAAAGAAAAAAATAGAAGCAATTGTGGAGAATGCAGAAAACAAAAAGAAAAGAAAACCTAGGCAAGTTCCTATCACAAGAACAGATTGTAGAGCTTGTATAAGAGTTAAGATGAATGAGGATGGATTATTTGAAGTAGTACAACATGTTTTGGTACATAATCATGAATTCACAAGAAAACAATGACACTATCTTCATCGATCGGAAAGAGAGATGACAGAAGAAAAGGGACAAGTAATAGAAAACTTGCAAAAGTCACGACTTTCAGCTATGGACTCATATCGAGCTATGTGTAATGAAGCTGGAGGTAAAGAAAACTTGGGACACACAAAGAAAGACCATCTGAATTATTGGACAAGATTGAAAATGAAAGATATTGAAGGTGGTGATGCACAAGCAGTCTCTGAAATAATGTACCAGGAACTTGCTAATGATCCTGAATTTTTCTTTAGATTTAGATTGAACAAAGAAGGCAAGTTAAGAGCACTATTTTGGAGAGACTCAATGATGAGAGAAGATTATAGTATTTATGGAGATGTTGTAGTGTTTGACACTACATATAGGACAAATAGATACGATTTGATATGTGCACCTATTGTTGGAATAAATAACCACTGGAAAAATTGCATATTTGGTTGTGCTTTTATTGGAGATGAGAAAATAGAATCATTAGTATGGCTCCTTGATACTTTCAAAAAGTCAATGGGAGGGAAATGCCCAATCTCAATCTTCACAGACCAAGATCAAGCAATGTGCTCTGCAATACAGAAGGTAAGTTTTAAAGTTATACACAAATATGTTAAAGTTACCCTGTTTCTATTGTGTAGTTACCTTTTTGTTTTCTAAAAATATATCTGATTATAATTCAGGTCTTTCCAGAGGTCAGACATAGATTATGTATATGGCAATTGGAACAAAATGCTATTACAAGATTTGGATCGTTGAAACGAGACAAGGATTTTAAGAGAACATTCTCCTACTGTTTGAAACAATGTGTAACTGAAGTTGAGTTTGAAACTGAATGGAACTCAATGATTGAGAAGTATAATTTACAAGAAGATAGTTGGTTCCAAAGAATTTATGATCTAAAAGAAAATGGTGTCCAGCTCTAAGCAAAGACTTCTTCTCAGCTGGTATCCTCTCTTCCCAACGAAGTGAAAGTACCAATCATGCAATTGGGTTTAGAGAAAATAGATCAACAAGCTTGACTGAATTCTATACCATTTTCAAAGCTTGTATACAGCGTTGGAGAAGCACGGAAAAACATGATGAGTTCTCGTGTAGTAAATCAACTGCATCATCAGCAATACCATTATCTGGTCTGCTGAAACACGCATCAGAAATCTACACTTTGTCTTTATTCACAGATTTTGAAGAAGAATTTGGGTATTCCATTGCAACTACCACAAAATTGCTTTGGCAAAATGGTAGTACCTTGTTCTATTTAGTGGCAATTGAAAGTGAACCTTGGTCGGAACAAAAAGTCACTTTTGAATATGACAGCAACCAAGTTAAATGCACTTGCAAGAACTTTGAAGCTTCTGGATGGTTATGCTACCACTACATCAGAATATTACACTTACATTCAGTGATGAGAATACCAGATCAGTATATAAAGAAGAGATGGACAAAGTTTGCAAAATCATCAATTTGGGAAGGACAAGACAATGAAGAACCTGAACAAAATCAATACGCACCTTGGCGTCAAACCATGGCTAGAAAATTCTATAATTTAATATTGAAAAGTCAATTGAATGAAGAGGCAAGAACCCTTATCGAGGACAGTTATGCTGCTAGCCTTTTTCTTGTTGAAGAACTACTAACAACCATCAACAACACTACTGAAGCAGAGACTAACCAAGCTACTGAAACAGAGACCAATCAAGCTATTGAAACAGAGACCAATCAAGCTACTGAAGCAGAGACCAACCAAGCTATCGAAGCAGAGGCACCTCTTATATTAGATCCTGAACATACAACAACAAAAGGAAGGAACAAAAGGCCACGAGGACCACTAGAGAAGAAAAGAACGAAGACAGCAGTACCACCACTTGAGTTTGGAGCTATAACCCCTAATTTGAGACTATTTTGATTGATCTTAGACACATTGTTCTTTAATTTTGAACTATATTCATTGACATTAGACTATTTAAGACTATTGTATTTGATACTATATTCATTGATCTTTTTTTTACTATATAAGTAATGATGAATTTTGCTAAAAAAAACTATAACTTTAAGTAGAATTACTATAGCTATTATAATAGTATCCTTAACTTTAATTTGTATTATCCATAACTTTAAATAAAAATACCATAACTTTTAATAAAAATACCATAACTTTTAATAAAAATACCATAACTGTTGTTTCGGGGGTTTTTGAGGTGTCCCACGGGAGAGTTACAGCACCGGGAATGTACGCCTGACTTCTGTACCTGCAAAACCACGAAACTCCGGTTGGGTGGAGTTTCGCCTCCGACAGTCAATTTAGAATAACTTCGGGTGAAATAACGTGCAGAAGGTAAATTGGTTCTCTCGGGTTCCGGGAGATTCCGCAATTAATATTGCTCGGGTCTTGTGGGTGTATTTCTGAATGTCAATAAATGAGGTAGATTCCTTTATTTATAGCAGATGGGTCTGCTCCCCCATTGGGGGTACGATGCCACGTGGCATCCATTGGTTGGATGCCCATGGTGCAATGGGGGGGATGACACGTGTCAGATCCCCATAGGGCCACGTGTCCAGGGTAACTTTTACCCTAAACATTTGCCCCTCACGGGTGCTGACGTGGCTATGCCACGTGGCACCTGTGACACGCGCCATCCAAGCAGGAAGGGGGCGATTCGCCTCCTTCCCTCTCTTTTCAAATTTCAAACTGAAGGGGAGGGTGACGGTTCGCCTTCTGGGAACCCCTATAAATAAGCATCCCCCTCCCTTCATTTCTCACTTTGTCATTTTTGAGAGAAATTTCTTGAGAGAAAAAGCGAGAGCTCTGGACCCCGCCTGCTTAGTTGCGCAAACAGCCACTCTTCTGGATACCTCTTGAGTCTCGCATTCCGTCTCACTAAGGTATCCTTCTGACCCATTCAGACTGAATGTTTGATTATGCTGCAACCGGCATTTGCCGTCTGGAGCTTTTTAGGCAATTTTGTATAAATTGCGTCTATTGAGAATCTCAGCCGGTGTAGTCCGTCTGAGATATCTTCTGGCACATTGAAGGTGCACTCAATAGACCCTCAGTTGGTTCAAACTGTCTGGGGCATAAAACGGGCAATCTCAGTGAGTTGCATTCAATAGACCCTCAGCCGGTGTAAACCGTCTGGGGTATCTTCAAGCAATCTCATTGGTGAGTTGCCTTCAATAGACCCTCAGCCGGTGAAAACCGTCTGGGGTATCTTCAAGCAATCTCATTGGATGTGCATTCAAAAGACCCTCAGCCGGTAAAAACCGTCTGGGGTATCTTCAAGCAATCTCATTGGTGAGTTGCCTTCAATAGACCCTCAGCCGGTGAAAACCGTCTAGGGTATCTTCCAAGCAATCTCATTGGTGAGTTGCCTTCAATAGACCCTCAGCCGGTGAAAACCGTCTGGGGTATCTTCAAGCAATCTCATTGGAATTGCATTCAATAGACCCTCAGCCGGTAAAAACCGTCTGGGGTATCTTCAAGCAATCTCTTTTGGGCTGCCTTGCTGCCTACCCAGCCAGTCTCACACCGTCTGGGGGGTGAGCAGGCAATCCCCTTCTAAACTGTTGTGGCCCCTATTCGGTCTTTGCCGCTTGGGGGGCACCAAAACAGTCTTCACTTTAACGAGTGTACAGCCGGCCCTTCAGCCGACTGTATTGGCTTTTTAGTTGAGCTTTTTGCGAAACTCAGCCGGTTTTTGCCGGCTGGGGGGGTCTTTGCCTGATCTGATAAAAATCCCAGATCATTTGCTCGTCATTCTCCTCCATCCGGCTTTTACCGCCTGGGGTATCTTTGTGCAACATTGGTGATTAATTTCCCTTCTTTTGCCAATTTGCAGTTTGCTCAAAGTGATACCGTTTGGGGTATCTTAGATCAACAACCGTCTCTCAACTTCTATTCGATCTCAAGGTAACGTCTTGGTTCCTGCTCTTTTTTCGGAGTTCATTTTTGAACCTTTGATTGTAAATACCTTTAAATAATGACCTCACCCATTACACACACGGCACACCATAATTTAGAGGCCAGCCGGTCTCCTGTTACGGCTGAGTCTAGGACTGGGGGTGCCGACTCTAGGTACGGGGAGTCTCCTTGTTCTTCTCCGAAACCGACCGTCTCTGTCTCTGTGCAGGACGCAATGGCTCGTACTAAAAAGACTGCCTTCGATCCGGAGTACAGAGAGGCAGAATCAGGCGAGCTGCCGCCTGACCCTAGTCAGACGGAGGGGACAAGGGATTCCCCGCCTGGCACCCCAAGCACTCCTAGCGACGGGATTTTGGAAGAGATAGAAAGCGAGGAAGGGGCCGCCTCGCCTTCTAGAGAAATGGAAAACGAGGAAGAAACCCCCTCGCCTTCACAAATTGGACTGGTACACCAAGAGGGTGCCAGCGACGACGATACCGCCTCCCCATCCGGTAGAGAGCAAAGCGGCAGCAGTAGCAGCCTCTTGACACCGGATGCTGATAGTGAGGCGGAGGAAAGGCCTGGCTGGAGTAATAAAGGCGACCCGTACCTCATCACCGTCTCAGCCAAAGATAGGGCTAGTATGGCCAGTAACTTGGAGGACTTTGTGAGGATTCGCCCGCTTGGGGTTGACTGGAAAATAATTGTGCCGCCTGAGATGGGCACTATTGTTTGGGAAGACGAGCAACCCAATGCAGACGGGTATTTTGGCTGTTATGAGGCGGCATTCCTTGCTGGTCTCCGCTTCCCCCTTCATAACACAATAAAGGCCATCCTTCGAGGATATGGCCTGGGTATTTGGCAGTTAACTCCTAACTCATGGGTTAACATAGTGGGCTACATCGCCGCCTGCGAGATGCAGGATATAAACCCCGGCTGGGAGGCTTTCGCCCATATGCATTACTTGAGCAGAAGCCCAGGCGGTTGGAGAGCCTGGTACACCCTAACAACCTATCCCAAGTACCTGATGACTTTAGACAAGCCGTCTAAGTGGTCTGATTGGAAAAACAGGTTTTACTTGGTATCCGCCCCTACTAAGGCGGAGAACCGGGAGTATAGGGTATACAACCGGAAGCCTGACCTCCTGGGGCATAAATGCAAGAAGCCCCGTATTCCGGATGTGGACTATGAGCGAATAATAGAGTCCAAATTTTTCGAACAGACCACCGTCCCCCTCTCCAATGGAGACTTAATAAGCGTACCCAGAAATTGGGTACCTAAGCACGAATTTCTTCGAGACGAGGCGTTATTGTCCGTCTGTAAGCTTAGCACTCAGTTTGACAAATGTAGGTCACATTAGAGACTGCCCCTATCTTATCATTTGTTCCTTATTTTATTTACTGCTAACCGGATGGGTACTTTTTGTGCAGTGCGTGGATTAGCAATGTTGCCAGCTGACAAGACTCCCGCAAAGTCAGCCGCCGAAATCCGCAAGGCAAATGCGGAGAAAAAACTTGCTGCTCAGGCGGCAAAGAAGGTATCTTTATTTTCACTCTTCCTGCATACATTTCCGTTTGGTTTCAATGCCGCCTGACTGCTATGTTTGCTTTTAGGATGGGAGCAAGGTGCCCCATTCAGTTTCAAAAATAATCAGGCCAAGGCCTGGAGAGGAGCCGCCTGTGCAGAACAAGGCGAGGAAGACCTCTTCTTTGACGGTCCCAAGCCGTCTAACTATTGGGGGTAAATCCCTCAAAAACCTCGGCGTGGGGCTGGACCTGTCTAAAAGGCAACCGGATGCTCCACTAAAGGAGACGGTGCCTTCAAAGGCATCCGGAGCTTCAGTCCCGGCTGAGGACAGTCACGGCCCTCAACCTACCACCCAAGGTACTCTTGACCCCTTCAACCCTTATTTGCTTGGCAAGCCTGTGCGGGTCAAGTCGCACTCCCAGCTCCAGCCAGAAGACTCTTCTGGCAGCCGGCAATCAATAGGAGGGAAGTATGTTACCTTCTCACCGTCTGTTTCTGGTGCAGATCACTCCCCTCGCTGGCCGGATGTACAAAGGTACGCTCGGGCCATGCTGAAGGTCGTCCCAAAGGAGGAGAAGGAGGCGATCCCAGGGATCCACTCCTTCAACGCCGACCAGGTCTTGGCTGGCCTGTCTGAGGTACATAGTCATTGTTTGTTTTTAAAGTTATTATGCCGCCTGGTTGCCTCTGATACCGTCTGGGTTTTTGCAGTCAATGCTACGCGTGGAAGGGCTCAAAAAAGCTTATGCCCGCAAGTGTGACGAGGTAAGGCGGGCTAAACGGGACGCGTCTGACACCCATAACGTTGCCGAGTATTCCATGATTATGCATGAATTAAAAACTAAAGGCATAATCATGCAACAGGCGGACAACATCAAACGGCTCCAGAAGGCGCTCGATGAAGCCGGCACCAAAATCCACAACCTCAAGGCGGAAAAGGATAATGCCGAGGCAGAGCTGAAGAAGGTGAACGACTCTTCCAAGCTCCTGGAGGTGGCCAGGAAGGAGAACACAAATCTCCTTGCTGAGAGCGTCCGTCTGAAGGAGGTGGCAGCCAAAGCCACCGACAATTTTAAATCTACGCTGGAGGCTGAACAGAGTCGGCTCATCGAAGAGAATGAGCAAGACTGCATCGCTCGAATGCAGAAGGCTTGGTCCCTGGTCCATCCGGACGCGGAATACACCGTTTGGGAACTCGCCTATAAATATGCAGATCTTGTCATTGATGCGCAAGAGACGAACCAGCCGGCTCCGGAGCCTTATGAGGAATGGGTCCAAAAGCAGATTGCGGCCATGCAGGCGGAAAATGGCTCGGAAGGGGAGGAGAACCAAGAGGAGATTGCCCCTCCTGTCCCGGGGACCGCCTCGCATAGCCAGGATCAGGACCAGGCTCCGCCTCAACCTTAAGCTTTCTGTCTTCTTATTTTCCGGCCTGCGTGCCGTGTATTTGATGTATCCTCTTTTAACCGGATGGGGGTCCG